AGTTTTGCGCGGGAACGGTGTTTATTTTTCTCCCCCCCTCCCCTCCCGCCCTTTTCTGCCAGAGCTGATTGGCTATCTCGGTTTCCTTTCTTCCCTTTCATTCTCGTCCCGCTTTTTCAAAAAAGCGAATAAATAAATCCGCGCGCGTGCCAAACAAAAGGGCGCGCGCCACTCAACGGCGGCCAGCTTTGTTGTTTTCCGACAGTGGCTCGTTTGCCAGGCGCTTCTGGGAAGCGGGTCGGCAGGGCGAGACAGCGGTAGCCAGCCGCCGTTTGCGTCTCTTCGCTCCTCCCCCGCCCGCCATAGTACCTGCCCTCTGCAGGTAGACTGCTTCTGAATATGGAAGTTCGTCTGCACTGCAGTAATTGATGGCGAGCCGGCAGACCTGCCCTGGGTTTGAACACACATATAGTGTATCAGTATATAGTGGTCCATGGGGTCCCGAAGAGTGACTCGACTGTGCGACTGTACAACAAATAGTGTATCTAAGGGTGCAATCACACACACTAAATAATCCACTTTCAGTGCACTTTCCAACTGGATTTTACTTGTGTGAAGTGGCAAAATCCAGTTGGAAAGTGCATTGAAAGTGGATTATTTAGTATGTGTGACCACTACCAGCCTTAGGGAATATATTTATTACAAGAAGGGGGACCAGCACCGCGATACTGGGGGGGGGAGCTCCATGTGGGTGAGGAGGCAGCGGCCGCAGGTGAGGCTTCTCCCCCACCCCTGGCACCAAGTGGAGGCAGGCGCAGCTCCTAACCACGGGCCCTCCAAGCCTTCTCCCTCCCCCACCAAGCGCTTCCCCCCAGCGGCAGCCTGCCAATCCTTTCCCCTCCCCCCTGGTGGCAGCGGCAACCTGCCAAGCCTTCTCCCCCGCCCCCAGTGGCGAGGGGAGATAGTTGCCAGGGCATTCTCTGCACATGGAATGCTCTTTTACTTTTGGGGGGATTTAAGTATCCCCCATATACTTTTTTCAACTTTTCAGATTTTTCTGCACACCTGGGGACTGCTCCAAGTGTGCAGGAAAATCTCTCTGCACCACAAGTGCCCCCGATATGCGGACACACAAAGGGGTCAACTTGGCTATTAGATATATAGCATACAAAGGGGTCAACTTGGCTGTTAGATATATAGATTCACATGTAGCGAATCAGACTTGAACACACTTATGGTGAATCAGGCCACTGGTCTATCCGAGTCAGTATTGTCTACCCAGACTCCCAATGGCTTTCCAGGGTTCCAGGCTGAGGTCTTCCACATCACCTGCTACCTGCTCCTTTTAACTGGAGATGCTGCTGATGGGGATTGAACCTGGGACCTTCTGCATGCCAAGTAGAGGGTCTACCAGTAAGCCACGCCCCCTCCATTTTTATCTGACCACTGATAATGAACATCTGGAAGATCAGACCAAAGTGTCCAACTGGTCCAGCACCAGCTAGACAGATGTCTCTGCAGAAGAGGATGAAAGTGGGGGCGCTCCAGAGTGGCAAACCGGGGAGTAGAGAGTGGTAGAAACCCAGGTTCGAATCCCCACTCTGCCCTGGAAACTCGTTGGGTGACCTTGTGCGGTCACTCAGCCTAACCGACCTCACAGGGTGGTTGTGAGGATAAAACGGAGGCTTTGGGTCCCATTAGGAGAAAGAGGCAGGGTATAGAGGGATTAAATAATAATTTTAAAAAATCATAACGCTAGACTACCCCTACCGTAGAAGCCCCTACTTATTGCGGTTAATATCTGGTATCTGAAGAAGCGAGCAGTGACTCACGAAAGCTCCTACCCTGCCACATATTTTGTGAGTCTTTAAAGGTGCTACTATTGGACTTGCTCTTTTCTATTGCGGTTAATAGTCGCTGATGCCCCCTGCTCGCTATCCTTCGCAAAGAGCATAAGAGAAGCCTCGATGGATCAGACCAGGGGCTCTCCTCTATAGCCAGGATTCCTGTTTTCAACAGCGGTCAGCCACCACTTGCTTGCGCGCCTGGTTCTCCAGAGGTAGACTGCCTCTGAACACGGAAGCTCCACTGGAGAAAACCGCCTACGGGCCCCCAGAAATAAACAAACTGCTTCTGAACATGAACATAGATCCAGAGCAGTTAGCCACGTTCGTCCGCTGCTGCAAAACAGTAAAAAGCCCAATAGGACCTTTAAGACTAACAAACTTTTACTGTAACATAGGCTTTCGAGAAACACAGCTCTCTTCGTCAGATGCATTAACAATAAAGTCTATTAGTCTTAAAGATGCTACTGGGTTTTTTTTTACCATGCTGAACGCGGAGACTCCGTCGGCCCACAGTACCGCGCGCACACCGATGCGCTGCCTTGGGAGCGAGCGCGACTTTTTGCAGCGAGCTGCAACAAAAGAGCACAGAACGGCCGGCCGGCCCGCCGGTCACGCGGGCTGCACAAAGCTTCCCTTCGCGAGGCGGGAGAGAGCGGACAGCGGGCGGCGATAACCTCTCGGATTGGCTGCCGGCGAGGGACGGCCTCTCCCTGATTGGCTGCCGGCGACGTTCCGAAGGCGGTTTAACGGCAGCCAAGCCGGGCTCGCCCGCAGCGCGCGTGCGCGGGGGGAAAGCGCGAGAGAAAGGGGGCGGGGGAAAGCCAGCAGGAGGGGGGTGGGCTTAAAAAATCCAAACAAAGCCAGGAGGAGAAGGGGGAGGGGGGAAAAAACCGAGCGAGCGAGAGAGAAACGCCAAATAAGCAGCGCGCGGGGATAACAATAAGGACGGCACGACGACGACGACGACTCAGAGCCGGCGAGCACGATGAGTCCGTCGCTTGTGGGCCCTGAGGCTCGGGGGGGAGACGGGCTCTGTGGCGACGGCGGCAGCCGCAGCAGCGCTCACCGTTCTCTATGA